TATTTCTTATTTCAGGAAGAGGGATTTAACCATGTATTACCTCTTTGAGCTTTAGTAATCGTTTGTAGTTAAACTAGCAATGGGAATCAATTTCATATAATTTTATTTTTTTTTACAAGAAGGTAAGTGGTTTTAATAGTTACCCTGGTTACATTCTCCACCATTCGGGCCATAAATCATGATCAGAAGTAGAAGAAGTATAATATCTTCAGCTTTCTGGGACATCTTAGGATTTATGGAGATAAGAATACATTTTTTATGAATAATAATATTTTTTTTTTTGCAAATATCTTTGTTCATTTAGAAAAATACCCCAAAATGAACCATTTTACAACTATTTTAATACAATACAATATATTAACGAAATGTTCATCTCTTTAAGTAACTTAATTATAAGAACACTCCAAAATGATCCTATAAGAACGTACTTACCTTTCTGTTTTCCTAGCAGGATGAAGTGGTGACAGCTCTGTATAGAAGATTCAGAACTCAAATGGAGAGTTGATCATCAGCCATACTCAAATTTTATGGCTTCAGATATATCCAGTGAGCTCCAATGACAGCAGAGCACAACGACAAGCCTTGTTAGCACTTTGTATATGACGATCATGACCATATTATGATGTTTGGGACTTTTACTGACTAGAACAGACTGTGTTAGAGTCCTTCAATTAACGTCTTGTGATGTCAAAAGGTATGGAAAAAAACTAATCAAATAATCCATAATCCATAATAACACTTCCTCCAGTGAAACTGTACCGCCTACAGTTGCTTGCAAACTGCAGGTTATTCTGGTTAACAAACACCCACTTAGACAGGACTTCCAGTACTTCCAGTTTAGTATGCAATATGCATTAGACATTTAGTACACAGACTGTGAGCGGCCCGAGGATGTGCTGTCTGAGACTAAGATATGGGCTAAATTCAGACTAGCATATTTGTCTTACTATTTCTGTCATTGTAAGAGTACAAGAATGCTGTTCCAAAGTCAGCGTAATTTTTTATTGTTATGGGAGGTGATCTTTCCGGCATCCCATCTTGATGGTCAAAAAATAATTAGATTTTTTTTTCTTCCAGGAAAAAATATGTTGGTAGTAATTGATTAGAATGAATCCAATGCAAATTGTTAACGGCAACATTTGAATGAATTTGCCTACTGCCTTTCGGTTTCATAGGAACTCATTCTGTCATGTACACTGTTATGTAGGCTACCCTTGTATCATTCCAAATATGGCTTTCTTTTCTGTAGATATTTGGATATGAAAATAGTCCTAATGCCATCCCAGACGTGTATGACTTTCTTATTCAGATAAGAAAATAATCAATTTCTGTGAGTCTATATACAGTATTGTAAGTGATTATAGGTCCTGAAATGATGATGCTCCAAAAAAAACACACACATGCCAATCGTGACGGTAATAAAGACCCCACTTATGAGACATCAAAGTCTTGCGAAACGAAACGATAGGTCTGAAAAATACGAACATTTTAAACCTATTAACTATAAGACATGGCTTTTTCCATCGCATTTTTTGGGTGAACTGTTCCTTTAAGGAAAATGCTCTGTTTATGTGAACATATTCACTGTTTTGTTGTGTATTTATGGCTTGATGTTATATTTATTCTATAACATTCTTGCTGCTGGTAAGGTGACGCTTTCTACTTGCTGAGCCAGGTGAGGTAACCCTGAAATCTCTACGACATGATCTGAAGAGATCTATTTTAAAGTGAAAAATGTTCATTTCAAACAATGTTCGACAATGTAAGGAGATGCGGTTCCCTTTACCAGCCACTAGATGGCACCAAATACGTCTATTATTCAATTATTGCAGCCGTCCATGCCAGTGTTCCACTCATTTGTTTCACTTTTTTTTGTGTTGAATTTGTGCTAACCTTCTAGAGTGCACAATTTGATTCTAACATATCTTTGGAAAAAATAACAACGGAAATTATTTAACAAAAGTTTAGTACTAAACAAGAGTTTAGTCTCACATTTTAACACAAACTAGCTCATAAAAAGTAATTTTAAGTTCTGTGATCTAGGAAAAGAAGTAAAAAAAAAAAAAAGACTGATGTTAAATTCAGTGAATTTCATTATTCAGAGTCAAAATACTATTTTATTTTAGCATTAATTGGGATATGTAACAAAACCTTGGAAGAGGACATCGGGACTCAATAAAAAAAAAAAAAAAGACATGAATGAACATGCATAGGCAAAAACAACAGATTTAAAAAAAACAAAACAATCGCCAATACATTTCTGTCAGGACCACTATCGTCAAAGATGATTGACAATTAGCATACAGTTTGAAATCACCAATACATTTTTAGTTTTCAGGATTTTTTTTTTTTTAACCAAACTTTGTATAAAGATAATTCTCAACTATGTTATAACATAATGATTTGATATACCATTTTTCTTCATGCAAAATGTGTGTAAAATGGCTATAAACAGGTTTTCTCATTATATAAAATGTATCTATAAACTAAATTTAATTTACATATTAATGTGTTTTTGGGGCACCATGTAATGAAAAAAGAAGTGTAATAATTGACAAGATTTTCATAATAATATATAACATTTCATAGGAATATTGAAATATAATTTC